GGCCCAGCCCCAGCCCCGTGCCCAGCCCATCACCTCCAGGAAGAAGCGGGGGCTCTCAGGCTGCGTGGTCAGAGCTCCAATGGCAAACACTGACGGGAAGGCGCAGACGAGGACAAAGACCCTCCAGCTGTGGAACTGGTAAGCAGAACCCATCTGAAAACTCCACCCTGGCAGGGACAGAGGACAGCTGTCAGCAGAGAGTCCACTGCAGGAGAGGAAGGAGAGAGTCTGGGGGGCATTCCCGAGGGGCTGCTCACCATAGTGGGGGATGATGGCCCAGGCCATGGCTGCAGCATACACGCCCCCGATCATCCAGAACATGCAGAGCCAGCTCAAGTGCTCCCCGCGCTTCTCCTGCGCCAAGAACTCCGAGAAATAGGAGAAGACAATGGGGATGGACCCTCCAATCCTGGAGGGCATTGTAAGGAGTCAGCATTAGATAGTGGCCATGTTCCTAAGCCCCAACCCCAGGCCGCTGGGTCCACAAGCACTTTCCATCTTTCAGACCTTTTTAAAGAGTCTTCTTCTTCCACGGTGCCCTACACGCTCCTCTTTCCCTGCCACTTCCACCAACCAGTCACCAAGCCCCCGTGCTTGGTGCCCTTAGGAATAGGCAGGCGGTTTCAGGTAAAGAAAAGGAACAAACATTAAATCTCGAAGAGGACTCTAGGGAAGGAAGATAACTACAGAAGAGAGACAGAAAAAAGTTTCCAGGGAAAAATGGCTATAGGAAGTTTGAGGACAGGTAATCTGCTCTCTCACTGACATCGAGTCAATACTGATTCACGGTGACCCTTAACGTCAGAGCAGAACTGCCGCTGTGGGTTTCCTAGACTCTAACTACGTATGGGACAAGAACGCCTCATCGTTCTCCCTCAGAGCAGCTGGTCGTTTTGAACTGCTGGCTTTGCAGCCCAACACATAACTACCATGCCACCAGGTCTCCCCTAAAGAGCTTTGACACAGGCTGAGTGGGAGTGTATGCAGACTCTATGCAGACTGTGTTAAATGCAGAGAACATGGAGACTGGGAAGGAAATAACTTTAGGGTCCACAACAACTTAGGGGTGAGGTCTCTTCATGGAGGCAGATTCAGAAATGAGACTAGAGGGTGGGGTGGAGAACGCAAGAAGGGACCCTCCCCGCCCTTTCAGGACAGGCAGGAAATAGAATCTGGACAGGTGGAGCTGGACTGAAAATGGTGGGGGGAAGTCATTCATCCATTCATTCAACTCTCACATAATTACGGTACATTTGGTACCCCTACAAATATACCAGTGACCAAGACACAGTCCTGCCCTCAAGGGGCTTAGGAGGTGGTCACTCACCCAACACCAGAAAGGAGGCGGCAGAAGAGGAAAGTGCCGTAACCCTGGACGAAAGATGAGAAAAAGGCGAAGACGCTGTTGACGGAGAGAGAGATGAGTAGACACTGTCTCCGACCTAGCCGGTCAGCCAGACCCCCCCAGAGGAAGGCTCCCACCATCATGCCCAGGTAGACGATGAGGCCTGGAAGGAGGAAAGCAGAGAGAGACAGGGAGATGAGCAGAACATCTCCATTCTCCCACGTTGCTGAGCACTCGATGGGCTGAAACTGCAGCAGGATGGATGAAGGATCGGAAGGGCTTCTAGAAGTATCTAGAGACGAGTGCAAGTGAGGTTGCACAGTCTGGGCCAAAAACAGAGGGTCATCTCTACAGGTCAAGGGTCCAAAGATAGGAATGCAGATACCGGAGAAAGAACCCCAGAAACCCCAAACCCTCTTCTTCCCCCATCCGTCTGCTCTCTCTCTCTCACACACACACACACACACACACACACACACACACCTCTTCAAAGCAGCAGGATGTCACTCTGTGTTCCTTGGGGAAAGGGCTTCCATTGCCTCAGTCCTCCCAGAACCATTCAATTACACACCCCCACCCCAAATCCACCCTTTACTTTTCTAGTTACAGTGTTTTGGGTCATTAAATGCCTCTATTTCTTAATTCCTTCATAAAATAAGCTTTAGAATTGATCATGTATTCTAATTTCTACATTTTATTCATGCCCCTGGGAGAAGGGATCTAAGAGTCTGTAACAACTTGGTGGCAGAGCAAGGCCTAGCTATCTCTTTCCTCAATGAATCTATGAGTTCCTCCTTTGGGGTCCCCATCAGAATAGACTGTCAGAAACTACTCTTTGGCCTTTTGACGTTCTCAAGGTTTGAATGAGAGTCAGTGTATCCAGTTTCTCTAGCCGAAAACCTAGAATTCTTTCCTACCCCAAACTGACCCTTCGCCGCCCACACTGACTACTGTCCCCCCGTGAAGCAAAGGGACTATGTAGGAAGAGGAAAGGCTATGAAGAAACATTAAGTGGTGGCCCATCCTGCCCTGGCCACCCCCTAGGAAACCAACTAAGCAGACCACCACCAACTACCATTCCCTGCCCCTCCAACTGCCCTCTGAGGGCCCCTTTCACACACACCTTCACTATGACTCAACCCTTAGTGGGAGGTCCACATGAGGGGACAGTATTGGACACTTTGGGAACAGGGTCCTCATGAGCCCAATGTAAGGACAAACGCAATTCTCAGGAGCAAGAGTGTCTAAGATTTGAGGCGGGACAGGGCTGAAGTGCTGCACCCGTGTGTCTTACCTAGCATGCCCTTGTTGGAGTCAGAGAGGCACATGTCCTTCTCAGCGCTGGGCAGCACAAAGCCCACCACGAAGACCTCGACACCGTCAGCCATCAGCGCCAGGCCAAGCACGAAATAGAGAGTCCACTGAAAGCGGCCGTGGCCACACTCCCGTAGGATGGTCTCGTACTGCTGGGCCAGTTCTTCTCGCTCTTTCCGAAGCTGGGCTTCCCCCCGGCCTCCAGGGGGACCCTCCCCATCACCGACACCACCTCTCACCCCAGCCAAGGGTGCCCCATCTGCCATCCGCTCGCCTTTGCTCCCTGACTCTGCCCTGGGGATGCCCTGATATTCCCCCTCGTATATCTCATCATCCTCATCATGGCCCTCAGTGGCGTCGCTGGATGCACCACCTTCCTCTTCATCCTGGGCCCCTTCCCCACGGTAATAGCCATCTGCGGGGGCAGGGTAATCATCATCATCATCATCCTCTTCGAAGCGGGAGTAGGATCTTCGGGAATATTCATCCTGGACTCTGTCCAGGCCCTTCCCCACCTTCTTGGCTGCATGCTTCTTGACTTCCTTGGCGATGTCTTTGGCCCCGCGGATGAAAGCTGCCCGGTCTCGGAAGCCCTCTTCCATGATGGAGCGTTGAGAACACTTCACCTGAAGCGCTCCCCCACCCCGGCTCCTTCTTCAGCGCACTGCGCAAGATCTTGTGGAATTAGGAGGACCCTTCCCCACAGCTGTGGAGAGGATATGTGCTGAGTGTCTCTGGCCACAGGATAAAAAGAAATAGGGGCTGCTTAGTGAGTAGCTAAGAGGAGGAGGAAGGAGGGAGAAGAGTCTTGGCCTACAACCAGTTCAGCTGGATGGGTGGGGAAGGGAGAGAGATAATGGGGATACGGACGGGGAGGAGGAGCCAGGTTGCTGGGGCTAAGCTGAGGCGCCAGGATAACTCAGGAAGGACTGCCCACTTCTTTCCAAGGAGCTTCTAGAGACCTAGGGGGTGAAAAATACAAAGAAAAAAGAATTTGTGAAGGCCCAAATAGTGAAGTTCAACATAGAAATTGATCTGCTCAGTCATGGTCCACCTACCCAGAGCCCTACCTCCACCCTCCCTGCCTCACATCAAGTTCAGATCCCTTACTTAATTATGAGCCTGCCGAAAACAAAACACAGGGAATAGGAGAAAGCAGAATTCCTGACTCTGGGCGGGTTTCTTACTGGGGATGGAGCTTGGCGAGACCGTGGCGAAGGAGGAGGGGCACGGGTCTAAGCTGTGGCCGGCAGTTCACTGCGGCGTGTGGAGATGGCCTTTCCACTGGGTGTCATCATGTAGACCCCACAAGAACAGGTTTGCTCCCGGCACAGTCTGGGGGATAAGAGCTAAGCAGAGCGAGGTGTGACCTCCGGCTTCAGCACTCATTGGCTGAGGGACTAACAGGAATGTGTCTGACCATCCATGCCTCCGTTTCCTCTTAGTTGCAAAGGGGAAAGTAAAGACTAAATAAGAGTAATCTATACAAGTTCCTTAAAGTGCCTGGCACATAAAAAGTGATCAGTAGATACCAACTATGACTAGAGCCCCAAACAGGAGCCATCTCGGAATGTTCTTTCGGGCGAGCAGTAGAGAGGGACCCCAGCTAGGAGAAAGCTGGGTGTGATGTACAGCCCATGTCACTTGCCAACTGCTCTTGGGCAGGTTGCTTAGCCTCCCTACGCCTCAGTGTCCTTCTGGTTAAATTGGGAATAATAATCCCTATTTCTCAAGAGCTCTGTGAGGATTTAATCCACAGTCTACATAACTATTCACTTTATCCCTTTCTGTTAGATTGGGAAATGTGAAGGAGGTACACCACGAGGCACAGCAAGGGGGCATACCTATGCACTGTTGCCCAATCTTTCTCAAGTCCCCTCTGCCTGTGTTTAAAGTAATTCCAGCAGCTGGGCCCACAATATCTCCTTCCAGACAAACAAGGGAAGGGCCCCCCCAAAGGGAGATTTGGAACCTGAATGGAGAAAAGAGGGGGTGCAAAGGTCTGAAACAATGGGTGGTAAGGAACTGCTGTCGCCTTCTTTTAGGGCCCCCCTGTCACTGGTGGGGGTGGGAATAGAAATGACTGATCAAACTCATATGTTTCCAACATGCCAGTCGTAGTTACGCCTCATTCTTCCAGGGCAGCGGTTCTCAACCTGTGGGCCTCGACCCCTTCGGGGGTCGAACAACCCTTTCACAGGGGTCACCCGATTCATAAGAGTAGCAAAATTACAGTTACGAAGTAGCAACGAAATAATTTTATGGTTGGGGGGCGTCCCCACAACACGAGGAGCTGTATTAAAGGGTGGCGGCATCAGGAAGGTGAGAACCACTGCTCTAGAGCCTCCCTTCTTAATCCTTTCTCATCCTCTTGGTCTCTCCACCAGGAGTCAAAGAAAGAGAAGTCCACAAATACCGCATTGCGTGGGAGGCTAGTGTGGAATGCTGGGGGCCTGGGCCCCCCTCCTCCGCCCAAAAAAGACATTGTCCACCAGGGAGTATAGCAGAAACCCCATATTGCTTCATGGAGACAGAGGCGGCGGGACTAGAATCTGGTCAGAGAGCGTCCCCCTAAAAATACCCTGCTTCCTTCTACTCCCACCCGCCCAGGGCCTTCATTAAATGTGTCACAGGCGCCCAGGAGCCCTGGTATCAGGAGTAGGTCGTGCTGTGTATTCCAGAGAGACACTGGCGAGCTGAGCCTTGCCCCTCAGACAGATGTGGGCAGTGGACCTGTGTCACCTTCTACTTTTCATGGCCCCGGGCCCAAATGGTCCCCCACGAAACAGAGGGAACTGTGGGGTCTCCTCTTTACTTCCATTCTTTTTCAAATAAAAAGCCAGAAAGGAGGCAGATGGAACCAACAGGAGCCATACTCTGAGCCTGTTGACAGATTCACCCCTGAGAGGTACATGCAGGGTACAGGAGGCCCCCAGGGTCGCAGCAGGATGCGATGGCTCCACAACAGGGCCAGCCCCCAGGGCCAACAAGCCCAGGAGGTCAGGAGGGGAGAGAGAAGACAAATTTTCTGGAGCTGGTGAGGAAAGCGTGCTATTTTTAGCCCCACACACAGCACAGGGTGGCTTGGCCTGTGTGAGAGAGATTTGGAGAGGTAGAGGTTAAGGGAGATTCGCGGTTACAAGGCCCTTTAAGGCCGCTGGCTTCACCTGACCAGGTGGCGGGGTGGAGGGGGGGTGTAAAAAAAAACAAGCCAAGAGATCCTGCAGAGGGTAGAAAGGGGTGGGTGACCCCTGAGCAAATGCTCCCTTTCAGGAGCACTCACCCATTCCTGGAAAAGAGGAAGGTCAGGGATCCCTATTGATAGCATCGGGACCACTCTGATCGCCCAGGCACCCTAACCCCCCCCAGGTGGCAAGGTCATAAAAAAATCACTTATCAAATCTTCCTCAGGATGGGGAGGGAGCGGTGGCAGACCGGGGAAGGAGGTGCAAGGACGCCCATCCACGTTATAGCTGAGTGACGGAGCCTCAGCCCCCACCCCAGGGCGACCAAGGCTGCGCCACGTCCCCACATCCTATTCTAGGGTTAGGGGAAGGCGAGCCATCGCAGCGCTCAAGGGCCTGAGATTGCAAACGGGGGCTGTCAAGCGGCAGGGCGAGGGAGAGACCTGCACGCGCACAGTCGTGAGGCACCCCCTCCCCCCGCATCTCCCCCCGCATCTCCCCTCTGCGCTGGTATAAGAGAAGGGCCCCTATAATTTACAGAATCGCTTCTCTGAGCAGCCCCCTACCTCGCTCACGGTTGGACCAGTGCCCACCATCACTTTCCCCACAGCTGTGGAGAGGATATGTGCTGAGT